ACCTTTAAAAAGCCCAATAATCAACATCCTAGTGATGATGATGGCAGTTGGTGACTTTGTGCTTCCTCATTTTCCCAGGTTGTGAGGTACTACTTGTCAGGGGCCGGCTGCAAGATGCAGGGCCAGGTAACATCATTAGCCAGACTGTGAAGGCCAACTGTGCAGGTTGTAATAAGTGGATGAGTGATAAACACCCTGCACTTCTCCTGGGCCAGTTTGTTCAGCAGTTGCACATTTGTCTTTTTTCGTGAAGCATCCTACTCTAGAACTGAGTAGAAGCCAAAATACATCCTGTAAAAAAAAAAAATGAAAAATGTATGGATCTTACCAGGCTCTTTTAAAAATTGATGTGAAACAGGTGGCTTGCAGTCAGAAGATGCATGTAGAAATTAATTTTTCATTTATCCTCTAGGAAGAGAGCTATTTTAAATTGCCAACTGTGATGTATGTTCTCCTTCATCCATAAATCAATTCTCCTTGGGAATGTTGGATCCATATATTGATCTGCATGGACCATTGTCTTTTAAATCTTTCCACCATTAATCATGAAGTAATTTCTAGGGAAAAGTTTTCTCAGGGAATTTGCAGAAACTTATTCTAAAGTTCATTGTAGGCAGCCATGCTGGATGACCAGGCTACAGAGAACCTGTGAAAATGAAACTCAGTGATCTGTCCCATTGCCCTTTAAGAGTGGCACAAAAAGAACACCAGAGAAGCCATTTTCTATAGCAGGTGCTAAGTATCAAACTGGGCAGTGTCCTATCGTAGAGAGATGGAGCCATGGTTACCAGGCAACCAGCATCCTACTCTGAGAATTCTGGGTAAAAGATGGACATGGCTTGGGAGGTGCAGATTGCAGAAAAGATGGAGACAAATCATTTTGTTAATCACAGAATCTCCCACCAAAACTTTACACATCCATACTACTTGAAATCGCAGCAATTAGGTATTCGCTTGGTTATGACTCGGACGTGATGTCTATTAGCCATTCATCCACTGGTACAATTTAGACTCAGCTGGCGATTCTTCTCATAACAAAGAACCACAGCCAGTTATTTTCCTCTAACACAGATGCACTGTTGGGAGTTTGGGAGACAGGAAACAGAAAAGCAAGGGGAAAGTTACTTGAAGAGTGGGTGCTAAGCAGGAAGATGTGGGGTTGGGAATGTGTCAGACATACAAACGCCCAAGAGAGCTCAGTGCACTATAGAGGACAGTCTCTCACCTGGAGAGACGAAGTCAGAGTACACACCTCCCGACAAGTGTCACCAGAGGTAAGGGTCGCATGGGCACAGCCAAAGGACTCTGGCACAGAACCTGTAAGCAGAACTGGAGGCACAGCCCTAGCACCGCCTGTCAAATACTGCAGTGTGGCCATATCACCATAGCTGAGAGCACTGGGTGTAGGCATGTTGCAGAATTCTTCATTTTTCTTTCAGGCTTTTGAAGAGTAACATGATGTACCTAAACCAATTGTCTCAACTCCTATTGGGGTCAAATTCACAGTGAAATGTGTGTCTGCTAGACCCATTTGCAGATAAGAAATTATAGACCTGGCTGACAGCCCAAAGGCCCTCTAGCCACTGGGCACCCACACCTCTCCACCACCCAACAAGGAAAATATGTTACCTGCCCTGCCATAGGCCCAGAACACTATACTGTGGTCATAGTGGAGGCTTTCAGCCTTTAGTTGCTAAAATTTCCAAAACCAATAAAATCGAGCTGAAAGCGTGTGGTGCTGGTCACATCTTGAGAAGACCCTGGGTTGTTAGGGGAAAGCTCCAAACTTATAATCTAAGTTTACCTCTGCATCTTGTTACTATGGAGATCTTGAATATGTCAGTTATCTTCTCTGAGCCTCAGTGTGTTTACCTGCTGGATGAGAATGATAACACCTCATTGACTTGTAAGCGGGTTAAAGTGCTTAAGAGATTTCAAACTGCTATTCAAATACAGTACTATCTTTTTTTTTACTATATTAGAAAAACAAAACAGAAGTGTGTGTGATAAAGTGCTCTATACCCTGTAAAAAAGCATACAAAAAAAATGGAGTCGTGTGTGTGTGTGTGTGTGTGTGTGTGTGTGTGTGTGTGTGTGAACTTTCCAACTAAAAAGATCTGGCTTCTTAGGGTTGAACTGGTGACCCATGCTGGACAGCCAAGGGAAGCCTATTTTCCACCACCTCCCTTCTCTTCCCACCCCTAGTCACAAATCCCCCCATGACTGAAGTCTTTTGGTACTGAAGACAGACAAGAAAAGCTCAGAAATTCTTCCTAAGCCCTATCTTGGACAGGATGCCCAATAGGGCCAGCCAGCCCTAGGCACCCCCAAGGCACCTGACCAACATCTGTTTCTATGATGAACACTCCACCAGCCATGGTTCTTAAAGAGTTCCGCAGCCCAGAGGACTCAGAGTCTCTGGGCTCCGCCATGGGCCGAGCTACTGTCTCTGTCTCCCCCAGGGCGATTGTTTCCACTCTCAGAGCCCTGGGATCCCCGGCTGCACACCTAGAGTGATGATGCCCCCTTCCCGGGTCATGGGGAGAGATCCACGGGTTGTAGTTAAAACCATTTGGGCAGGAGAATGCTCAGTTCCACAGAGAAGTTGCTTCTCATTGACATGGGAGCTCGAAATGCAGGGTTATCTCAGACACAACAGGTGTCAGAGAACCGGCTGAGATGCTGTTTTCTGGGAAGCCCAGGCCTCTCTTTGAGCAGGCTGAGGAAAGCAGGCAAAAGCATCACCACCTGAGTCCTCCTCCCCATGCCTGGACAGACCATTGCAAACAGGTACTGTTACAAGTGTACAGAGAATCCACAGCCCATGGGGCAGCACATGAGTTCTGGGCTGTGCTCTGCTTTGCCTTGTTTTTGTTTCTGTGTTCTCTTCGCTTCAGAGATTTGACAGTTATGTAATGCTGCTGAGCCCTGGAGAGCTAACAGCATGGCATTTTAAAGCAATGGTGTGTGCGTGTGTGTGGTGGGGGTGGGATGTTTAACTGCAAGCAGCCGAGCCCAAACAAAAGTCTAAACAGAATATTCCAGAGCAGTGCTTTCACGCTGCCGGTCTAAGAGCAGGTAGGCAATTGCTCTCTGGATTTTTCTGGAAAAAAAAGAGTTCCTACCATGGCTAGCCAAAGTCAACAGCCTGGGAGGGAACCGCTAAGAGTGCATGGTCGGCTCCGTGTGTACTCCAGGGTCTCCCTGCATGTTCTACATGCATGCTTGACTTTCTTCCTTTCCTACTAATTATTGGAACCAGGAGTCTGTTTCCGAGGACCTCATTGTAAAAACAAAGCATTACAATTAAAGGTCTCTTGCCAAAGATCTCAACGCAGAAATGAGTGTCCTAGCTGTTTCCTACTCTTTTTTCTTTCTACTTCTTTTTAAATCTTGCTATTATCACTCTTCTGCTAAACTACCGCTTTCTCAAATGTCTAAAGAAAAGGGTGTTCCCTCAGAAAGCAGTAACCAAAAATTAGAGACCACAACTCTTGCAAATCAAAACCTCAATGAGACAGCGCCTCCTCCTGACTATTATAGAAAGAATGACTATTATAAAAAGGACAAAAGCTGACAAGTGTGGGCAAGGCTGTAGAGAGAAGAGAACACTGTTGGCAGGAATCTACGTTAGTACAGCATTATAGAAAATAGTAGGTTAGAGCTGTCTTGTGACTCAGCAATACCCCTGAGTGAATTACCCAAAGGAAATGAAGTCAGTATATTGAAGAGATATCTACACTCCCATGCTTAAGTCAAAAGTGACCATTAGATCATGAATGGATAAAAAAAAAAATTGTAGTGAGTGTGTGTGTGTGTTGTAGTGGAATATGATTCAGCTCACAGAAACCCTGCCATTGCAACAACAGGGGTAGAACTGAAAATCATATGTTAGACACATGTTAAATAAAGTAAGTTGGGTACAAAAAGATAAACCTTATGTAAGTTTGCCCATATAGGAAACATAAAAAGCAGGTGCAAAGAAATGGAAAGAAGAATGAGAATCTGGGGACAGTAGAGCAAAGGACATGATGGAGAAACATTGAAGGTTGAGTACCAAGACGCAGTTAGGCAAGAGGCAGACGCTCTGGCACTATTCTGTATGGTAGGATGACCGCAAATGACAGCTGTGTGCTGATCATCTGGAAAGAGGCCGTGAATTTGAGCGAGACAAGGGTGGGAGAGTACATGGGAAGGACTGGAGAAAGGAAAAGGAGGGCAGATAATATAATTATATTATATTTCAAAAAATAAAAAAATATATATTTTAAAAAAGCCAAAAGAAAACACTTTGAATGTTTTCATCTTGAAAACATGATAGACACTTGGGAGGCAGACGTGTTCCCTGGGGTTGAACCTGGCATGACAACGTACATATGCAAAACCACCAGCTAAAATCAATTAGTGGAGGAAAGAATAAAAGACACCAATATTTCTTTTTCTTCTTCCCCATTCAGATCACTCATTTGCAGAGTAATGTCACAATGTCAACTTTTAATGTAAAGCAGAGATTAAGCAGCGTACATCTCAATGCAATTATTTGAGACAATATGAATTATTATAAGACATGCTCTGAGTTGTACCTAAAGACAAAGACAAAGCAGGCTGGATATTAGGGAACTGATGTACCACATCTGTACCAGAGAGTCTCCTAGTTCATGGGGAAAACTTTCTCCTTTGTGTCTTTTATTCTATGTAGACATGCTTCCTAGAGAAATATGCACACCTTGCAATTATCTGTTTAATAACAGCTTCATAGCGAGGACGGACTACATATTGTAGAACAATCAATATGAACACAAACTTCAGATTATGTATGATGGCTTGCTAGATTAATCTACACATGCAGCTAGGTTTAAGATAGCCTCCTTGGTTTCCTGAGATTTGCTCATATTCTGGAATGTTGTTCTCACTGTTTTTAACATGGGACTTGAGACTTTAGAGAAGGCTTATGGGCTTTTCTTGTGAAAGCAAACTAATGATGTGTCTTGTTTCTGCAGACCCAGGGGGCAGGCTCCCCTCGCTCCTCCCCCAGCCACACCGTCAGCAGGCCCATTCCCATGCCCATCCGGTCAGCATCTGCCTGCTCCACCCCAACGCACACCCCTCAGGACTCCCTCACTGGGGTAGGGGGAGATGTGCAAGAGGCCTTTGCACAAAGTAAGTAGTCTCTCCTTTCCTGTGTTCTGCTTGTGCCTGGCAAACACATCACCAAGATCCATTGAGCAGGAGGCCATCAAGACTCATCACAGCCACACGTGGACGCTCACAGGAGCGTCCAACCTTTCGGCTTCTCAGGGCCACATTTGTCCTCTACAAAATTTATACTTGAAAAGCTGTAGAGTCAAGTTACAAAGGAAACCTCATAATGTTTCATATAAGTTTGTGGTTTGGGATTGTGCTGTGTTCATGGCTGTCCTGAGCCGCATGTGTCCTACAGATTGCGGGTGGGACATTTCTGCTAGGGTGTCCTATATCTTGGGTCAGAGCCTGCCTGGCCTATGCATCTGAGAAAGCCACTCCACTGCTCTTCCTTGCTTCCCCCATTCAGTCTTCTTTCATCTTCTCTTGCCCTACTCCACTTTCAGTAAATCTTGGAGTCTCAGAACTTCTTTACAACTTCAGTCCGTCCTGATACTCTTATTCCATATCATCATCAAAGTCAAGACAGAGATCAAACAATCCCAACTTTGAGCTGATGAAGGAGAAGTCATCATTGAGATGCTCTAGAGAGTTGGATCCTGGCGTCTGTAATCAGGGATCCAAGGCTAAGGCTACCCTCAGTAGAAAAGGGAGAGCTGGCGACCAGCCTTCTCCACAGAGGACCCCCATCTCCCTTTCTGCTCCCACTGATAGATAAATAATTTGACAAAAACAGCAGAAGAGATAAAGCATTTATTTTATCTCACAGGTCAAGGTGGGGCAGTCAAGGCAGGCGTCAGGAGCGTGAAGCCACTGGTCACAGCCCGGCCACAGTCAGGAAGCAGGCAGCGGGACACGTGTGTGCTGGAGTCACGCCACTCTCTCTACTTCATACATTCTAGGATCCCCTTCCCAGGGGATGGTTCCAACTATTAAGATGGGTCTTCCCAAATCATCTTTTAAAAAAATCAAGATAATTCCTCACAAACATTCTTGGAGGCTGAATTAATCTGGGTACTCTTCCATGGGTGTGCCTAGTGGTCCATTTCTGGGGTGATTCTAGATTTTTGTCTGATTGAAAAGTACTACTAACCATCATAGGCATCCCAAACTAAGTGATTTTAGTCTTCCTCTTTCTATCATTTTACAAGTTTATAGCTATTAAGAAATCCTCCTCCAGTAAGTCTTTCCAATCAGGCAAATTTCACTGCTAGAAGTGACCATAACTAATGTATGGACTCTTCCCATCATATTTTTTTATGTATAAGTAGCTGTGCACATGTGTGTATACGGCTCATAGACTCGTCTTCCTTCACACAAATTATACCTTTGTCTACAATCTCTATTTTCTTTAAATTAGAAATATATTATGGTTATCCTTCCAGTTGTCAATTGATGACATAGGAAAGAAAAACATTTGACTGGATATTTTAAATCAAAGACAGAAACTAAATAATAGAGTCCAAGGATTCCTATTGGTGTGTGTGCCAATCAAATTTTACAACTTCAGCTATGCATAAACTATGGAGGTTTGCCTCCCTAACAATACAGATGACAGGAATTAGAAGACATGAGAAGCATAAACAGAGGGAAGATGTGCCACCTCACTAATGTCCGCAGAAATAGACATTTTAACCAGAATCATCATTTGCCTAGTAGTATTTTTATCAGCCGAGTCTAAGGACAGCAACCATGTGTGAAAACAAACCCTCTCATCCATCGTGTATGGGGATAAAATGTTAACACATTTCAGCGGGCAAAGCCAGCAGACTGTTTGCTTCTGTGATGAAAAGTGGAGGCTCCATATCAAGGCTCATCTAAGCGTGAATATCATACAAGAGCTACCTATGTAATTCACAGTATATGTTTCTTTTTTTCAATCTTTAAAAGGAAAGTGTCCTTCATCTAAATCAGATTTTAAAGACCTACAGTATGTTAAATCTGCTGGTGCAGATTTTTTACCTAATCTCTTTGATTTTCTAATTTAAATATATTTATTGCTTTACTCATTTAATGGTACTTTGTGAGAAATGACAATGGTATGTCACCTACAGACACCCCCTGGCCCACAAGACACTCACGCTATGTAACTATTTTGTAAGTGGCACATTTGGAATCTCCAACCTTTTCTTCCAAAGATATCGTGGTAATTAATGCTTGGCTCCATCTTCACCTTACCCACTCCCATGCCACCCTAAAAATATCCATTTAGCCCTTACCATGCCTGCTATGTAAGAATAATCTTTTCTACCATGGATTACCTTCCAGCAGTAAAAGTCCAGCTCAAGGTTACCAGACATTCCTCTGCCCAGTATCTTAAGAGCAGTAGCAAAAATCCTCAACCCTTTTGCACTCTCTGGGAGCCTTCAGTATACGGTGTCCCAGTCTCAAACTGTATCAGTCCTGGAGCAGAGATCTCCAGAAGCCCCACTAGGGGGCAGAGCCTGTGCTGGCAGAGGGCAGGCACCAGTGTGCTCTGAGGGCAGGCGCCAGGTAACAGCTGGGACCACAAGAGATGTTTGAAAACTGCAATTCTCCTGGCAATGTGGGTTGTGCTCAATAGGGTGCCCACACCTTCTGAAAAATGGCGAGTCCCAAAGCTTGTGCCAGGTCGCCATGCCTTATCAAGGGGATCCCTTTCATTTTCAACACCTCCCAGCTGGAATAAAGAATCTACAAACCTCGTCATTCTCCAGGTCTTTTCCCTCGGGGCCAGTTTGCTTTTTTTCCCCCATTCAGGGAGCAAACCAAAGCGCCTGTTGCTGCTGTAGGTCTTCAGAGGAGCTGACAGACGAGCAACATAGAGCTGGTGGGGAAGGAAAGGCTGCATCATTTTTAAATTGCTGCCTCTTTATTGAAGGTTCAAGAAGGAATTTAAGGAATGACTTGCTGGTCGCCGCAGATTCCATCACTAACACTATGTCCTCGCTGGTGAAAGAGCTGAACTCAGGTGCGTTTGGGGGGCCCGTCCCTTGTGGGTTTGTTGTGCAAGGGTCCTTATGCTCGGGGTCCCTCCGGGAAACCTGCTCATAGTCAAATGCAAAGTGAGATTTTCAACATTTAAAAGGAATTTTTAAACTTGCGTGTGTATGTGTCTGCACATGTGTGTGTGCATATGTGGGCCTGTGCAGGTGCTTTGTCTATGCGGAGGCCAGACGAGGGTTTCTACTTCCCGGCAGCTTTGGCTGTGGGTGATTGTGAGCCTCCCGACATGGGTGCTGGGAATGGGGCTCGGTCTTCTACAACAGCAGAAAGTGCCCTTAATCACCGAGTTACCTCTCCAGCCCTGAATAAAGAAAGAAAATGCTGTATGCAAAACTATCTTATAGTTAATTCATTTCAGTACCAACTCTCATTTTAGGGGAAAAAAAAAAGAAAGATTGGTGTCTGATACCCTGACTTTACTGCATGTGGAACCTGGGAAATTGTTTCCAAGCCCTGAGCTTCCGGGGGAGTCCGGGCCTTTAGTTCTGGGTCATAAGCTTTCTAAGGGGTCACTCTCTGTGTTTTCCACTGCCCACCAGAGGTGGCGAGTGAAACAGAAAGTACTGTGGATTCTGAATTTGCAAGAACTCGGTTTGAAGGTCTGGTTCCATCACCAACCTCTGAAAAGGCTTTTCTAGCCCAAATCCACGCCCGAAAACCTGGGTACATCCATGGTGGAGCTGCAAGTACCATGCACGGCGACATGTGAGTATCTTGTTCTTGGAGGCATTTTCTCAGTCAGAGGGCAATTTGTAGGTGACCTCTAAGAAGTTAAAAAACAAAGCAAAACAAAACCGGAAAGGGTGCCGTTCCCCGTTCTGCCAGAAGAGGCAGAGAGTGCTGCGTTTAAGTTTGGTTCTGGGGGCTCTTCCTTCTGACTCTGGATTTCCAGAGAGTATCGGTAATGTAAACAATGAGTACTTAATGAAATCCTGACTCACCTGACACACTGGACACGGATGGCCCTCAAATTCTGTTGAAGACATACTCCAGTAAACTTCCTGGAAGTCAAAAACTTACCTAATACAACTAAGCCATAGTATGCTGTGGACTAGCAATTCAGGCAGCACACTCTAGGGTGTCAATCAAGCATGAGCCCTCTGACCCCTGTGACTGACAAAGGGCTGCAACTTATTGATGATGCCAAATCACAAAACAGTGTAATACACTTATTGCTTGTTTGGGGACGATACTAATTCAAAACTGAAGTGTGGTCTCTGGTAAATGCATACCACATTTGCATCATGGTAAAAGTGGAAGCAAACCCCTAAGTCTCAAGTCACTTGTTGTCAATAAGAGGGAAAGCATTTTCCCAGGCCACATATGCCACTTGGAAAAGAAGTCATCGTGTCTCCTGAATTTACTACTTAGGGGACAGTGGTGAGGCTAGAATGGCGTCGGATAGTCATTAAACACATGGAATCTCTTTATAAAGGAACCCAGTTTCATTGGCTCATTAAATATGTATAAAGTCCTGCAGAAACCATTTACAGAGGCTGTTATCACAAACAGCCAGGAATTACTTTCCTCCCTACGAACAGAAGTCATAGATGGGCAAGGGGCAACTGCCTATCACCTGAGTTCCAGAGGCTCAGGGCTTGGCTTACAAATTCCAAAGCCTGTGGCTCTAAGCCTTGAGAACTAAAGGCACTACACTTTCCGATTCAGAGTCTTGTAACTCTGGTCTTACCTACCAATGCTCAGGGGCTATGGTGGTACTTCCTGGACTTGAAGTCAGAGTCCTCCAATTTTGACCCATGACAGCTCTCTCAAGCTATAGTTCTCCGAGGGGTGACTCCTGCCATCTCTTCACAGCTCTTCAGATTCTCATCTCCCATAATTCCAGTTTCTTCACTGTCTCTCGTCTTCTTGATGCTTCCACATCCTGCCCTTGGCCATTTTCTGGAGCTCCTCAAGAGCCTCGGCTCCTGGTGACTTCCTCCATCTCTTAGCCACCTCTATTATTGCTACCATTATGGGGCTGGGATCTTCACGCAACAAACACAGTCATCCTTCCTATGGCAGAACCATAAGCAGGGAAAAGACCGTTCAGGAAAAGCATTTATTGGGATAATGACCAAGAGAGCTATCTTCCGGATGACCATAACAAGAAAGACTACACACACACACACACACACACACACACACACACACACGCACACACGCACGTGCACATGTGTACATACATTTCTCTCAAACTTTACTTATGAGCCAATCATGACCCTCACATTGCATTGAGTTTTTGCTGAGTCATGGGACAGATTGCTCCCGTCCCATCCCGAGCCAACACTGTTGTCAGTTGAGCAGAGCTATTTAGTGTTAGGAGTTCATAGAATGGAGTCTTCCAAAGCCTCTGGGAGTTGCCTAGAGTATGTGTGACTGAAGCAAGGACTCTTTAAGCAGGAATCGTGGCTCTCGCAGCCCCTGTGGTTGCAGTAATCCTTGGCTGCTAGAGCAGTGTTCCTGCAGAGTAATGGTACAGAGTTCAGAACAGCCAGACTTCCAGAATTGCAGTCCGACCCATTTGCCAAAGATGGTGTTGCTTAGCTGGTAGTTTCCCACTTAAGACAGCCAATAAGAGAAGAGTCTGTTGGCTGTCATTCAGAGGATCAAACACAGCCTATTCCTGACAGGTTTGCTCATTCATAGAAAAAGAAAGGAAGGAAGGAAGGAAGGAAGGAAGGAAGGAAGGAAGGAAGGAAG